CGGACATTATATGACCTTCGTTTCTACTTTTCATAGAAAAAAAAACACGGCGCAAAATTAATAATACTGTTGTACGAGGAGTATATGAAAATGAGAAAATATAAAATGTGAGGTCAGGTAAAAAATTAATAACTAATTAATATTGAATATATATCATAGTACAATCTTAAAACACATGTCGACATGTACAATTTAGACAGACGTAAATACATCAGTGCTTCATCAAGATAATAATAAGCTGAGAAGAATTATTCGTAATTTGGAAAAGTTGATCTTTAAAATTAATCAACACAAAATATCTGTTGTCTTTATTTGATTACGCGTTTCGCCTTTCTAGGTTTTATCAGATCCAAAAACTAGACTAGGAGGAAATTCCGTCAGAAATTGTCCGAAGATTATTTCGGAAGAAAAGTATAAAAAAATATGATCCCGATTTCGACTTTCTCAAGTCATCATCAAGGTAGGTAGAGACACCTGGTGAGTTTCGTAGAACTAGTAAGTGTTGTGAGTTAGGTAAAGAGTGTTGTGACGTAAGCGAGGTGTAACATGTGTGTGCGTTTTTATACATATATTTATTTTCAAAGTTTTATATTGTAGAATAAGAATAATAAACAGCACTTACCGGTGTAAAGGTCCCAGCTAGCGTCCAGCTGGCAGACAAAAATAAAGCAGGTTGTAACTTAATACAAACCCTGCAAACTAACAGCTGAATCAAGCTGGTATTTTATATAGAAATACCTCCACTCAGGTACCAGCAGCCAATCACAGCCCAAGCAATGGACTATCCCACTTTAGCACAATGAGATGCTCTATGGCAACATAAATAGCTCTCTTCTAAAGGTTGGATTATTGTTCACTTAGCTTGCTCCACAACTAAGTATTTATCTCTACCACGTGATTTTTCTACATGGCGCTGTGAACAGGATATATGACACCCGAAGATTGGGAACTCTTCTTCATTGAAGCAGGCCTATCCACTGACTCGGCCAAAACTCATGCAACAAGGTTTGCAGACGAGAAACTGACAATCGAGAGCCTTCATATGCTGGATCGATCCATGCTTAGGGAGCTCGGAGTCGCATTAATGGGAAAATCCCTGTGTATCATCAAGCAGGCTAAGGAAGCCACCACCCAGACATCCAATGAAGGCCAAGGGGCCTGCGTAGACGACCGTTGCGGCCGCTGACAGCCTCAGAGTTGATGGATCAGGTAGAATTACCTTACGAAATCGCCGATTCCTCAGGAAACTGGATACACCTACAATTCCAGTTCCAAGACCTAGTGCCTTACCTGAGACCCCTACACCAGTGCCACAAACATTCGACGCTGGAATAACGTCGAACACTGCTCAGTCGTCTACAATAACACGGACAAAAACCCCTCGGGCATTGTCCAGACTACTTCCGCACAACCAGCCTGGTTTAAAGGAACTCATCCCTCCCCAAAGGCCACTACCCACACGCGATGGGGGGGAGGGGGGAAGGAGATGTAGAATAAGAATAATAAACAGCACTTACCGGTGTAAAGGTCCCAGCTAGCGTCCAGCTGGCAGACAAAAATAAAGCAGGTTGTAACTTAATACAAACCCTGCAAACTAACAGCTGAATCAAGCTGGTATTTTATATAGAAATACCTCCACTCAGGTACCAGCAGCCAATCACAGCCCAAGCAATGGACTATCCCACTTTAGCACAATGAGATGCTCTATGGCAACATAAATAGCTCTCTTTCTAAAGGTTGGATTATTGTTCACTTAGCTTGCTCCACAACTAAGTGTTTATCTCTACCACGTGATTTTTCTACATATATGACCAACTTAGAAAACAAAATATTCAATAAAATAAATAAACCCACAAAATTATGCTAGATATATTGATGACATCTTCATCCAAACCAAATCCGTTAATGACATTATAGAACTTAATTTTAGTCTTCTACTGGTATCTATTGTATTTAGAACCTTCTGGAAATGTTCAACCAAATCTTTTAATATAATTTACAAGGTTAGATGGTGCGCATTTATATCTACATGCTAAGGAACATTCGTTGTAAAATCCCTTTTTTTTTTTTTTTTAGAGATTTTTAAGTATGAAATAGTTACTCGAATCATTTTTGTCCATAGCTACGTCATTTATCACGTCCACGTGAAATACTCGGCTTACTTGCTTATATACCTCTGATAATTAAATAGGCAGTTGTTACTAGATAGTAGCTGTCATTCTTGCCAGACGTTGCCGATCATCATGTTTTCTCACATCTGTATATATAATTGTTGGCTGATCGTTTCAGAGTACACCTGTTTGATGCCGTGGCTAGCTAATGTGTTACAGACACCTGCTCAGGCACATGTGTGTTTTTTTTACAGCAGTCATGGAATTTGCCTGTGCATTGTACTTGTGGTTGTTTTATTTGTTATGTGATGAATGAAAAAAAAAATTAGATGATATCATGTTCCAAAGGCACAAGATTTGGGCCTTATTGCCACACAAAACAAAGCCGTTGAAACACCGACAATGGTGGACATGTCAATGGACAAAACTATAAAATTTCAGAAGCTGTTTTTGTCTCAACTGAAAATTCTTTAATATTGCTTTATAAAGCCAACCTGCTTATTCACTTAAAAAAACACAAGTTAGTATTATTCTCAATGGCATTGTGGCATAAACTAACCGATTTAGAACGAATGGGTTTCGGGATTGTTCGCTGAAAAAGGAGGCTACAGTCAGGAAGTCTATTAAAGAGACCTGCACCCATCGGAAAAAAGAGACAGAAGAAGTGATTGTCTAATATTTTTCTTTTTTTTTATCAAATTTCCTCTTATAGAGTAAGCAGGAGTTTATGCGACAGAAAATCGGAAATAAATTTTACGTAAACATTTTAAAGTGTGTCTGCTTTCCAACGAAACAGAAATTTGCTGAAAGCACAAATAATTGAAGAAGATTGTATATTGAGTTTCAATAATCAAATTAGCACATCCCCAAAAGTGAACAAACATGTTCTGAAAACCGGATAATCCTAATGCGCATGCTTATAAGTTCTTCCTTTTTGTACCTATTTTAAAAAGTATCTCTGCTGCAATATCTTAACAATCAGAATATACTCCATTAATGAAGCTATAAACAAACATACAGAAAACAGGTTTATCAGAAGATAAAATAGTTGAATTTGAAAAAAGTAAGTATACATAATACGTTTTAATAAATGTGCCCAACAAACAACACAACGAATATATGGCACACAAAACAATATAATAAATGTGTATATAAGGCAGTTAACATGATTAATACACAAGGCGATATAATATACACACAAGTCAATATAATCCATACAGAAAGAAATGTAATAAACATATACATAATATAATATTATATCAAAGGCAGTGGATACTGAACAATCTCATCACAGATGAAGAAGGGACTTGAAGCAACAATGTGGTTCTACAGAAAGATGCTGAGTATACCATGAACCTAACGTGTAAGCAATGACGAAGTTTTAGAGAAAATGGAAACAAGTGTCTGAATAAATTGAACTCCATTTATTAATGTAAAACTGGTCTGAAGAGATGGACGTGAGGTTCACGAAATACATTATAACCTGATCTGATGGACTTTTAAGGATTCTGTATTCATTATTATATTGCTCTGCTCTTACATTGAGCTCTCTTTGGATTTATATCCTCCTTGGAATTATCCCTACTAATTATCAATTGATATTATATATATATATATATATATATATATATATATATATATATATATATGAAAGGTATTAAATCCGACAAATAATTTAATATATTTTCTGTTTATACGTTTTTTGTGGATACACTTATTTGAGTAAATACTCTGTTTTTTAATTAAACTGTATTAATTACATTTACCGGCCTGAATGTTCGAGAAATTTCGTAAAAATTGTGTCCTCCGACGGGGATTAAACCTATCTGTGGCTGAACAGTCATATTACGTCAGGTTTAATGATAACGGTTCTGTACAGGATACAGGTTCGATTTCTGTCAGATGAAGCATATTTTCTATGAAATGTTTCGAACATTCAGGCCAGTAAATGGTTCTGCTTGCTCCAAGTCTGACTGGTCTCGTTCAATTACTGATTATGCCAGATCGTGCGCCATCTCCCAGAAACTTTAATTAGGTCCTATCAGCATTGATGCAGTATAAACTACAGGTAGGCTCTGTAGATGTTACGTATATTTACATATATACAGGGTTTATCAAAAACAGTCTTACAAACTTTTGAAGCGGATTCCTCAAACCAAAACAAGGATAAACGTCCATATAAAATAAAATAAAATCCTTCGTTTTCGAGTTTAAAGTTTTCAGTAGACGCTGTTAAATGTATAATCGGTTTTCCTCAGCAACGTGCCGATAAACAGCAGCAAACTTTGGAGGGCTCGGCTGCTTCCGGACTGGTAAAGCAATCTGATACAACCGTGCAGCCATGCGTCCATTACCATTCACGCGACCATATGCAAAAATCATATCTGTCTACTCACGGTATGAATATCTTGCCATTGTAACACGGAACTCTTCTCAGTTAATTCACCACTACACACGTTAATCGTTTAAGACAGACTAGCCACAAAAGTACACGAATGGCGAATGTAACCTGGTCTACATGGCAATACAGCGCCATCTATCGTAAACTTCCTTTAAACTTAATTGAAAAACGAAGGATTTGCGGACATATACTTATATGGACTTTTGTCATTATTTTGGTGTCAAGAAGTCGACCCCAAAGTTTGTAAAAGTATTTTGATACACCCCGTATATATATATATATATATATATATATATATGGTATTCCCAAAAAACTACTCACATGTTGACTTAATATAAATAAGTAAGAGAACTATTTATTGGAATTATTTCTATTGATTCTATTCATCGTTAATGCAAATTTATCTAACGCGAATAAAAACGTGACAAATTGATCATGTAAAGTGTGGTTTTCCTGTATACACAAATATATTTTTATTCTTTCAGAGGATGTCAACTGACGAAGTTACTATTATTGTGGTCAGTGTCCTCTGTGTCCTGATTGTCATCGCCGCCATTGTTGCTGTTTCTATTTATTTTTGTTGTCGGTAAGTTCTTTTTTTTTTTTAAATACTTATTCCAACTTCATATTATTGTCTGAAGTAAGAGCATTAGTGTTTTATTAATTGTTTGGACTAACATCTTAATACTACTACCATATTATTATTATTACTAGTTTCTCTGTATCTCAATGTTCGGGTTGCGTAATGGTTATCAGCGCGGACAGTGGACCGAGTTCAAATTGCAGCCTAGTCTATACCTTCCACTGTTTTCCCAAGAAGTCATGGCAAGTCACAGAAAAAATATATATATATAATTCTGTAGAGATCCATGTCTAAAAAAAAGACAAAAACAAAAAAAAAATGCATTAAATTGAAACTCTTTTTCCGCGCACTTCAAGAACTGGACCTGACGACTTAATAATTAATATACTAAACCAATTGTGAATTGTAAGATTCTTATCTCTAATATTTCTGATACTTTTTTTTTTAAAACTTTATTGAACACTGAATTAACGACAAACATCATCATTGTTGTGGTAGTAATTGTTTAACTGGGGAGGAATAGATTGACTAAAAAGCTAAAAAACTTACAAATATTTTTAAGATGATTAAAAAAATAGTTTTGTTTATATGATCCTGAAATGATGGAGGCGATCATGGCTCTTCACAAGTTCCTTTTTTTGTCATGCATTCCTGCGATTTGCCATGCCTTCTTGGGAAAGATAGTGGAGTTGTTTCCTATTACTTTCTCTACGGATATTTGAAATTAGAACTTTCTTTCCCTTTGACTGGTTGCCATTCAAGGCTCGAGAGTCCAGTCTACCTAGTTATTTAACTCAGGGAGGAGAGAATAGATTGATCCGTGCCATTCTAAATGAGATCAATTGAAAACTAAACGCAGCAGAGTAACCTGGAATTTGAACTCGCTTCGCAGGTTCTAACTTTCACTCGATCAGTTTTACCATCTTGTTATTGTTACATTTTATCCCAAACGGTGAGCGAAGATAAAATGGAGTGATACAGCAAAGATCACGAAATTTGTAATAGAAAGTAGAAACTTCGGACAAAACTTCAAATCGTATCCCAAACATCAGGAGATCGTCTTTCAAGGTCATGTCTGTAACTATTTTGGTATATAAACGTTGACGAGGAAACAGAGTACAACTGTTTCTATGAACATTTCTTTTTCGACTATCTACGCCATATATGCTTCACCGACAAAATAAAACAAAAGTATACGTATAAACCGACCCCATGATATTAATTAAGAAGGATTTAATAGTACCGTACCATTAAAGAATGTGATTATTTTCCTACCATATATATATATATATATATATATATATATATATATATATATATATATATATATATATAACTAAAATAAATCCTAGAGTCAGGAAAACCTACCTAGGTTTCACCCAAATTTAGGTGAAACCTAGGTAGGTTTTCCTGACTCTTTAGGATTTATTTTAGTTATTCCCGCGCTATTTAGTGTATTAAGCACTCTACGTTTTAGTCTTACTACTAGCTTGTTTTTTTTTTCTTTGGAATAAGACTTAAGGCACTGGATGATTTAATTTGGCCTTTTTCGGATGTTTTTAGTTCTTTCTTTTTTTAGTTCCAATTTTTTCCTCGGCTACCGATTTGCTTTTGACATATCTACAAGTTGAGCAATCTGAGTTTTTTTTCCCAACCGAATATTACTATATATATATATATATATATATATATATATATATATAATTAGAGATAGTCTTCACCCATCCTCTGAATCTCTCACGTGTTAAAGGCGGGCTATCGGACAAGGACTTGAGGGAGATGGGCGCCGCCAAGCTATCTACAATCCACAGAAATATATATATATAGCCAGCAACCCTCGTACTCTGACATCAAAACCCCTTATGTATATTGTGTGGTTCACCACGCACCACCCAATGTATTTAAGGTCCCGGGGAGTTCAAACTCCGTGATAATATAACATGCGATCTTCACAAACACCTAACGCATGGCACACAGTGCACCTGTATGGGCTATGTTGTTTTGATGGAGAGAGTGTGCTTTGTGCCTCACAAGCAACTGACCACGTTAAACAAATCTTAATGCAGGTTGATCAGTAGCTGGATGGTTAATAGTTCAACACAAATACATGCAGGACAGAAATCCCATGGTGAGGAAAAGATGGCGACGGGGACAGGTGGAGGATACCACTAGCTGTCTTTAACTTGAATTTCACACATGGGTGGTGAGAGGTAGATGGCCGTTGTGCAGCACAAAATCGGACATTGTTGTACTTCATGTCCTCCTCTCATAACAAACAGCCCTATTTAGGGATGGTACTAAAAGGCGACCTAAAGATTGCATGTCCGAGCATGACCGTGTCATAATGTGCGTATGGCTGGGTATCCAAATTGCGCACTTGAAATTCCAGAAAATCAAAACTTAATGAAACAAACATGTTCATAGCAACTTGGAATGTAAGGACTCTTCAGGACAATAAGAAAAACCCTGAACGCAGAACAGCAATTATTGCACGAGTACTTAAACAGAACAACATCAATATTGCTGATCTAAAAGAAACCAGACTTCCAGACAGAGGGTAACTCAAAGAAGTGGAAGGTGGATACACTTTCTTCTGGGTAGGACGACCCGAATCTGCGAAAAGAGTATCTGGCGTAGGATTTGCTATCAAAAACGATCTTGTGTCCCGACTGGAATCACCTCCAGTTGATATTTCTGACAGGCTAATGTCTTTTCACTTACCTATCAGTAAGAATAAGCATGCCACTTTACTTTGTTGCTATGCGCCTACCATGGACTCTATTGAGGAGATAAAAGTATCCTTTTACTGCAACCTTCGGGAACTTCTAAGGCGGGCGTCATTTCGTGACAAACTTTGTAATGTGTGGCTTCAATGCTCGTGTTGGTTGTGACACACTATCCTGGGGTAAAGTCAGTGGAAAACATGGCGTCGGTAAATCAAATTCTAATGGGGTATTGCTGCTGTCTCTTTGCGGTGAATTCGATCTTGTAATCACCAACTAGTTTCAAAGCTACATGGCGGTATCCTAGACCAGGGCACAGCCATCTCATTGACTACATCATCGTTCGTGGTCGTAATCGCCACGACGTAAACCTTACGCGATTACTAGCAATGTTGGTCAGATCAAAAAATGCTTTGCTCACATACGGCAATTCATTTGAAGAAGCCTGTTAGAAACAATCGAGCAAAACCACCAAAGAAGGTAAACATAACAAAGCTGAAAGACAGGGAAACATTAGACTTTTTCCAAACATTGTGTGACTCAAAACTTGATGAAGGTAATGAAGTTGAATCGGCATTGGTCTGCCTTACAAAACATACTGTATGACTCGGCAAAAGAAACACTCGGATATGTTCAGCGAAAATATCAAAACTGGCTTGATTCAAACGATCATGAAATTGAAAACATGCACAAATGTCATCAGGTCTGGATGGCAGACAAAACATGCCTATCAAAGAAACAGGCCTTTAAATCAGCCAAGGGAAAGTCTCAAGCAAAATTGAGGGAGATGAAGAAGGGCTGGTGGACAGCAAAGGCTAAAGCTTTGCAGGTGTCTACTGATAGAAGTGACTTCAAATCATTCTACCAAAACTTAAAGAGTGTTTTGGTCCCATTTCCAGCTGTCTATCACCAATCTTTTCTTTAGATAACACTCTTTTGAAAGACAAAAGCTACATTATCAAACGCTGGGCAGAACACTTCTCCATGGTTCTAAATCAGGATTCGTTTGTTGAGGTTGAAGTAATAAACAATCTTCCTCAGAAACATGTTGCACAAGGCATTTCTGCTAACTCTTCAACCTTCGAGATCAAAAAAGTCATCAAACATCTCTTGAATGTAAAAGCTCCTGGCGAAAATGGAATTCCAGGTGAAATATACAAATGTGACAACAAACTTTTGATAGACAAAATTTTTGAATTTTTCAACCTTGTGTGGGAAAAGGGAGAAGTTCCACAGCAATATAAGGATGTTTCAATTCTCCATTTGTATAATCGCAAAGGGAACAGGTTTGAATATGACAGCCATATAGGAATATTTCTTCTTTCGGTTGCTGGCAAAATCTTTGCTCGTGTCATCCTGAATAAGCTTAATGAATTTGTCTCAGAATCCGCATTACCAGAGATCCAGTGCGGTTTTCGATCCGGTAGAGGAACCGGGGATATAATCTTTTGTCTTCGGCAGGCTCAGGAAAAGGCACGAGAACAAAACAAGGATCTATTCGTTGTTTTTGTAGACTTCACAAAGGTTTTCCATATTTTATCTCGAACTGCTCTTTGAAAAGTTTTAGCAAAATTAGGTGTTCCAGAAAAAATGTTCCATATTATTATCTCCTTTCACGAAGGACTGGAAGCTTTTGTAAGGTCAGGAAGTGACCAATCGTGCACCTTTTTCGTCATCACCGACACAAAGCAAGGTTGCGTTCTTGCTCCTCTTCTCTTTGTAGTTTTCTTTTCTGCTATGCTTGAAAAAGCATTCTCTGACTTAAGTGAAGGAATCAATGTTGAATTCAGAACAAGTGGACGTCTATACAATCAGCAACGTTTTAAAGCACAATCGAAACTTGATCTGCAGCTAGTACGCGATCTTCTCTTTGCAGATGCTGCTGCTTTATTAGCACACAGTCTAGAAGACATTCAAACTATCTTTGAAAATTCTCTGAAACAGCGAAAGCATTTGAACTCACTATCAACATACAGAAGACTGAGCTAATGTACCAGCCAGTACAAGGCAATCCATCTCTCATAAATACTACCGTATTTATTGAAGGTATGGCATTTTAAAAACTGTTGAGGCTTTCACATATCTTGGATCACCAATCTCTTCTGATGGAAAAATGGGCAGAGAGATCCAATCCAGAATAGCCAAAGACAGCACAGCACTCGGTAAACTTAAACATAGTTATTGAACACCAAATACGTGTCTCTCAGAATAAAGATCGACATATAGAGATCAGTCGTTCTCTCAAACCTTCTCTATGGTGCTGAAACTTGCACTCTGTAC